AAGACACCTCCCCACCCTCCTTTTTTACCCAGTTTGTAGGATTTGGGCTCCTTTGCCCGATACACCTAAGTTTGTATTTACCAGTTATTTAGTTACTCTTCTTACATGTGCAGAGGCTGATTTTCCAGGATGCAGAGTATAAAATAGGCTGTGTACTACGTGGTGGGTTCCAGTGTTTGATACGTGGCTGCACAGTCTGAGAGAGCCAACTAAAATATTTCTCTTCTATATATAGTCACCTGAAATCCAGCAGCAAAGACACATCTGAGACCTGCACTCAAGACTAGCTTACTTCTTAAGATGTACTTTTTCCTCCTTACTATTGGAATATTTTTTAAATTTCCACGTGGTTTTGGATGAAGTGCCAAATGCTTTCATGATAAATTTAAATCTAAAAAGACAAGACAGAAAAAAGCAATTTTTAATATCGCCATTTGATGAGAAAAAAATCACTTTTATTTGTGTTTGAAGGAAAGACCGTAACTCTCCTAACTTCTTTAGGCATATCTGTCCTGCTCCTTGCAGTCAAAGCAAGGTCTAATTTACACAGCCACTGTGCTTAGATCTCTTATTTGAAAGAAGGGACTGACTTTTGGTCTGGCATAAATGTGTCACGTTTTATTTGGGCCACGAGGACGATCCCATCAGTGAGTTTTGCCAAAGGCAGTGACTGCTCTCTGACTTGGCTTAGGAGACGCTCCGACCTCCTGCACTCCTGAGGCCTCGGGCCAAACTGCCAGCATTGCTCTTCTGTATTGTGATCAGTGCAGGTCTGTATTTTTTTTGCATACTTATTTTTAGATAATATCCGTTGAGAAAAGAGGGGAAAAAAGGTAAAACCTTGTGCTGGATCTGAGCAAACAGAAAGGTCAGCGGTTAAGTTCTGCCTTATGTATTGTAAATGCTGAAATGTCCTTTTGATAAATTAAAACTCTGAATGAAAGAGTAGCTGAACGCTAGCATTTGGCCTTGCAACATAGGTCAAAGGTTACTTTTTTTTTCTCAAAAATGGTTTTGCAAATCTTTTTCAGAGCTGATAGATACACACCTTAGCTGGATACAAAACATTATATGAAAAAGAATGACTGATCTTTGATCCAAGCAATCAAAAAGAAAGGTAATTGGTATTTTTCTGCCTTTTCTCCAGCTGTGTGTTTCTCTTAACCTTTATTTATTTATTTTTTCAATTAAAAAGTCATGCCCCTTTTTATTTGGCTTAGAGAGTTTAAAATCTCACTTGATTTAATTTTTTTCTCATTCTTTTTCTTCCCCACATGCGTACCACGGAGCTGTCCTGAATTAGCTGGGCCTTGGTGGGCAGGGAAGGAGAGATGGGGCTGCACATGCGAGGCTGAAGCATCCTGCTGCTCCCAGTCGGCAGCTAGGACGTGGTTTGCCTGCTCACATCTCCATGGCACGCTAAAAGCTCAGGGTTCAACTTTCCGGTCCCTGAAACGCCATCAGGCCTTCTGCACGTGTCTCGTGCCGCACGCGTGTGAAACGCTTCCTGCTGTATTAGCAGAGCAAATGTGGAATAGCTGGGATCGCTGCCCAGCAATGTGGTGCAGGGTGGAACCCATGGAGGTCAGCTTTGCCCCTGATGGGACCCTCACTGCTGCAGGATCCTAAGACCCCAGCCGCTGCCACGGATACAGTGCAGTGACAGCGTTGCCTCCACTGGTGTTATTCCAGATACGTATGTGGAATGACACAGTAAAGTTGTTATTGCAATGTGTTTGTGGATGTGTGTGTGTGCACGCATGCATATGAGTGTGTGTGCATGTATAATCAATTACAAGGAGCCTGACTCGTTGCCAACTAAAATTGGAGACTGTTCTCTGTCTCTGGACTACTAGTCGAAGCTCGGATTTAATACAACCCACTATCGTCCCACAAGTGAATACTCTCCAGATTTCTATCTGAGAAGATGCAAATTAGAGTCTTAAACATCTCTGAGGACTGGAGCCTGAGAGACCGACTCTAACCCATCAAAGCTGAGTGCTTAGGACAAGGGGGAACAGTTTTTAAGTAAAAGAGAGGAGGTTTAGGTTATGTGTAAAGAGAAAATTATTTACTCAGAGGGTAGTGAGGCCCTGGCACAGCTGCCCAGAGAAGCTGTGGATGCCCCATCCCTGGAGGCATTCAAGGCCAGGCTGGATGGGGCCCTAGGCAGCCTGATCCGGTCAGTGGCTGCCAGCCTGTGGCAAGAGGTTGGAACTGGATGGATGGGCTTTAAAGTCCCTTCCAACCCAAGCAATTCCGTGATTCTAACACTTGAGAGACATTTTAACCATGTTACTGAAAGGAGATCTGTGGGATCTCAGAATAGCAAGTTCAGTGCATGATCTCAGCTTCCTCTGAAGTGTAGATACAACTCAGTTTGCTCATTTTGTTTGCCCTGCTATTGAAACCCAAGTCACTGAGATTACACCTCGGTCTGGATCCACGTGCTCCCAAAATCTGGAGATGAGTGATGCCGCCATACTATGTGGTAGTGACTCCAAGCAGTCTTGGAATCCATTTCTCCAAACATGCATATATTCATTGGATTAAGGGGCTCTGGCTGTAAATCGGGACTTTCCTTGCTGGATTTACACAGCCTTCCCTTGGAGCGCTAGCACAGCCTAGCCTTAACCGCCCCTCCTTCCCTGTGCCACATGGATTTAGCAGGAATTCAGGGTGCCTACAGGGCATTGAGGCCAAATGATAACAGGGACTGAATGATAATCATTCAGAAACAACAAAAATCCAATTTGCAACTTGCAGCAGCTCACACAGAGGGAACCCAGCTGTGCACTTGAGCGTGGTCCTGCAGCACTTCCACAGAGTTTGCATTCCACACCGTCCTGCTGCAACTGGAGCTCTTTTCAGATTGCTGTCCCTCTATAACCTCAGCCCACAAAACCTGCTGCTGACCTCCAGTGCAGCACGCAGCAGGGAAAGTGAAGCCTGCAGGCTGGGTAAGCCCATCGCTGCACCGTCCCAGCTGCCTGGGGCTGTGAGCTGGACCGCCCTCAGCAGGCTCGTGGTCTGCTGCTGCTGCTTTCACTTCACACCACGCTCAGCCTGGGAAGCAGAACCAAGAAGGGACCCCACAGAAGGTGTAGCAAGCCAATTTAATTACCTGCTCCTTCACCTGACATTAACCCTTCTTAGACCAAGATGACTGTTGGCTCCGATGTTTCCATTAGTTGTGGCTGCATTAGAAGAAAGGAAACTTGCACAGCATTTTTGGAACGCTGGCACGTCAATAAATAAATTGCCCTGCAGTCTCAGCCCACTCGTTTTTAGAAAGGAAATGACCCTGTGAGAGTGGGTGCCCACTTCTTTTACCTCACTGCTATTTTTAGCTGAGACGCTGAAAAATTTCCATTGAAGACCTGCTCCTCTCATTTCCTGGGTAGAGCAAACAGGAAGCTCTTCTGACTGAGCCGCAGGAGGGCTCGGCCTGAAAGTAGACCAACCTCACCTCCCTCTGGTTGCTTGCTGGCACTGCAGCACACCGAGCGCTGCTGCGATGTGCGGAGCAGAAAGCTGGGCAGCAGGAGAGGGCAGGCTGTTGTTGGCACGTGTGCTCTGCAGCAGGCACCGACCGGTTGGAATCAGGCGTCTCCTGGCTGGAATGAGAAAGAAGAGCTGAAATCCAGGCTGTTTGCACAGGGATTTTTGAGCTCGGAGGGTGGAAAGGGCCGTCCTTGTGTCACAGCACGCAGCAGGGACCAGGGCAGCTCTTAGCCCAGGAGGAGTGCAGGCAACCGCAGCGGCGCTGTACAGCGACAGCGTGGAGCTTCGCATTAAGCAGATATTTTATGGGATAAGTTCCACTGCTTATAGAGAGATTTCAAACTAATAGTCATACCTCTTAAAAATTATTGCAAGTGCTCTCCCAGAGATAGCCAGAGATTGGGCACAGTATTATAACAGCGATAAACTGCCACTTCTCATAAACGTTTCTTGTTTATATGTAGAATTGTGGAGTCTTACAGCTGCATACCTGTCAGTCAGCTTGGGTGAGGAGTTGCTTTGTTTTGAATTAGTCTGTGGCTTAGCATCAAAATAACAATGGGAAAAATAATTTAGATTTGGAGTCTGAAGCCTTAGAAAATTTGGCCTTTTTTTTTTTTTTTTTTTTTTTGACAAATTTATTAGAGAAAATAAGCAGTTTCCAAATGGAGGATCCCCCCAGTGAATGCAGCACTGAGGAGCTGCATGGAAACAGAGTCCCAAAGCAGGCAGTTCCGGAGTTTGGCACCAAAGCACTCATCTTCTAGGTCTCTCCTAACAAAGTCGCTGCCTAGATAGGAAGGTTGTGCTACGAGGGACCTGGCACTGTTGTTCAGGTTGTTTTAAACAGAGAATGAAGTGATTCGGTGCCTTCTGTTGAGCCTTACTGGCAAACCTGTCCCAGCCTCTGAGACTGTTAGAGCAGTGCATTGAAATTTGTTTCTGCTGCAGTCTGCAAACAAACTAGAACAAAAGTGTGGACCAAATAGAGGCACCGGTGGTGTTTCAAAAGAAAAGAAACACAAAAAAGCAGCCTCTGTCTGTTCAGCACTACCCACTTTATTTCCTCCAAGTCAGGCCCTTCTCTATTCAGAATATTCTCATTTCATCCTAGACAGAAATGTTACAGTGTTCAGATGCTTACACCTTGGTTTCAGTTTGCCTGGATGAAGGAGCTGTCTGTGACAGAGGGCTGTGCTACGCAGGGGATGCAGTGTGGGCCGGGGACATGGAACAGGTTGCCAGCTGTGTTTTCGTGGCATTTGAAGCATGCCAAACACCACCTCAGCCCCCTCTCTCCTCTCCTTCCCTCTTGTTAACAAAAGTGTGTGGCATGGATTATTCGGCCGACGTTTTTTTTTAGTTTTAATCACGAAGTTACAGTAAGAATAGAGAGAGGATGTTCTGAATTAACGGCAGACTGCCCAAGGACTGCTTTTACTTCCCGTGACTTTGAAGTGCTCTTAACATTTCTTCCTCTTTCTTTTATTTCACAGTTAATGAAATTATCAGGAAGGAATTTTCTGGACTCCCTGCCAGAAATCAGACATAGAAGAAGATTTGTGAGACAGCTTCTACCAAATCCTTCCATAACTGACCTCTTAGATCCTTCCAGTGCCCCTGCAACCTCCTGCTTCCTTAGCTGTTCATCTCAAGGCACCAGTTCAATGCAAGGAACAATGTACTGGCATCAAGCTGACAGCCTTGACTAAGCAACTCGCCACCTCTCTCTGTAAACATGGAAAAGGGCACCCTTCCTTTCGTCCAAAGATCGCATTGTTCTCATGTAACAGAGCATCTGTCTGAGGAAACACTTCAAGCCTGCTGCAAAAATCTAGCTATGTATCGATGCATCTATCTCAGAATTAGGGAGAAGTAAGATGGCACTCCTGAAGGCCACACAAAGCAAGGGAGGTTATATATTAGTCTTTATTTGGGTGGGGTGGGAAACAAGGGAAGAAAGAGTAATATATTCCATAAAAGAGCAGCGCTGTGCAGCTCACTAACAATGACTTGCCTTCCAGGTCGCAAAGCCCTTCTGAAAAATTTTGTTGTAGGAAACTGAGGCAGCTCAAGCTCACTCTGCCTTTATCCAGTCTGGGAGTAGAGGTTGTATTTTCTCACTCTGAGCACCGTGATCAGTATTTCAAGCAGTAGACGTCAACAGAATCCGGCAATTTTCTCCATTTTTTCTTGTCAGATTGAACAGGGATTTGGTGGAGAAGGATGCTCTGGAGAGCCAGTAAAAAGAGCAGTTCAGCAGCTGCTACACCTATCTCAAGGTAAATGAAACCCACGTAAACAGAGATGAATGTACAGGAGTCACAGTAAACCCAAATATTTTATGACCTGTCCTCATTTAGGCAGCATACGAACACATCTTACGTATTTTCTCCCCAATAAATTGCTGCTGTTTCTTCTCATGTAGAGCCCGCTGTTGGCCGGTACCTTGTCTCATGTAGCAGCTGTAATGTTTAACCACACAAGCTGCAGAGGAAAATAATTGCATTTCACAGAAGCTGTATGTTCAAGAAAAAGTATACACTTTTAATACTCTATCTTCAGCACTGCAAAGCTACCAGCAGCTTCTGGAAAGGTTAAAATTCCATGCGAGGTAGCATGTAAGGTTTTGCTTTGTGTGTTTGAATGTAATGTACTGACAAATGCCAATCACAGTAAGAGCTACCTGCAGCCTGCAGCCGTACAGCTAGCAAGTTTGTAAGATTTCAGTGCATCTCTGGTACCCCAGTGGGATGAAAGCACACCTGGAGTGACTGATCTCTGCAGTAGGAGGCTGCTGCTCTGTGGGCAGCAGTGGTTTGTGAATGAGGAAAGCTGCGTTGTTATGGGCACTGAGCCTGAACTCGTAGAAAACACAGCAAACCTGCCCTGTTCTCAGCTGCTTCACAGCAGACTTCAGCAGTGTGCCCACGTGCTCACAGCAGCCACTGGGTCACGTGAATATTGAAGACCAGCAGAGCAGCTGCCTGGTTTGTTCCCCAGTACTGCAAGAAAGATGCTTGCACCAATCCCACAGCCTTCTGCAGGAATAAAACTGAGGCTGCGGTGCCTTCTGCATAGTTTAGTTATTGTTAAACAGCATTTATACTGCACAGCACTTCAGCTGGTTCACACGCCCCAGATGAGCCACTTTTTCAATTGTTTATAACCTGCCATATTGTTGAAATCTACCACCCATCATGTATTTTTAATGCATTTTAATGGATTTTTCATTTTGAAAACTTGCTAATGCCAACAGTTGCCTGTCAGAAATTCTTTACCGCAGCTGAGCAAAAGAGCCCAGATGGGTCTCTTGGCTTGGAAGGACCAGAAATGGCCATCTAGTTTTCCCTGATCCAACCTCTAAGGGTAAGACAGGAGAAATGAAAAAATACAAAAATCCATTCAGAGCAAACCAAAGTCCCCAGGTAACTGACAGAAACATTTCTTTTGCTGGATCTCAAATGAAATACCAAAGAATGTGAGCTTCTTTCCAAGTCGGGAGCTCTTGCTGCTTTCTGGTGGCTGTCAGAACACAGCTGGCCGTGGCAGTGCCCTCCGTCAGATCCCACACACCGAATCCCCAGCAGCCCTCCCTGCAGCATGCAGTTGCACTACGTGTGTTTGTGCTGTTGACTGATTTTGTCAATTTTTGTCCCCCAGTGACCATTTAAGCATCTTTCTCCCCTTGTTGCTCTGAGGCATAGCCGTATAAAGCAGACAAGAAGGCATGGAGCCTTGCAGAAGGCAGTGAGCCCTCAGCAGGAGCCACGCAGGCTGACCCCGAGCCCTGCAGGGCTCCTGAGCAGGATGTGCCCTCACCTGAGCATGAACTGGAAGGTCAGATGCATGCTGCTCTGGGCTGTTCTTTTGGGCAGTTTGCTTTGGAGAGCAGGAGAGGGGTTTATATATATATATTTAATATATGCTACAAGTGCTTTACTCATGCTTGCACTAGCTGTATTTCCTCCTCCTTTTTAAAGGCATAGATACTAATCTGGACATGTGTTAGGGTAGAGGCATATACATGTCTGTCTATATACTATAACCACGTAAGAGTAGATGGTTATATATATATGTGTACACATCCATCTGTGCTTCTCTCTGACCACACACACCAGTCCTACAGCTGGCTGCAGCCGCGCAGACCTGCTGCCACACAAAGCCAGCTGCTGGAGCGAGGGTTCGTATGATGTACATAATATAGACTACATTTTAGTGGTTTTATCTACAGCTACGTCAGGTCAGGCTGTGCTACTCTTACCTGCTTTTACATCCACCGTTAGTTACATAGAACAGCTTTAACCACTTTATATTTATTTCTGGAGAGAAGGAGTATCCTCAGACATAGCGACATACGTTGTTGTCTCTTTTTAAAAAGAAAACTGATGTGTTACAGATATATAGCTAGGCTGAAGAACTTCAGAATACGCAGTACTAAATTATTTCCTGTTCTCGCTGAGCAGTGTTCTGCAGTATTAATACTTGTGGCATAACACGCCTCGCTCTCTTTCTGTAGAAGCATTAGATTAACCTCGGAAGAGTTAATGCCATTCTGTGAGCAATTTGTTCTCACTTTATCTGGATGATAGCCATATTTGCACATGAGGAAATTCTGTCTTTCCTCAGTTATCTGAATGTTTCACCACAGTGCCTTCCTGCCATTGTACCAAAGGCCTCCTTGTGTGCAGGGTGTACAACTCTAATGCATTTTCCATCAGAGTTATACCATGTGAAGTACGTGGGGCTCATTGGAACTCAAAGTTCATCTCTTTCTTTTTTCTGTGCGTGTGCATTTTTATACTTCGTTTTTTCCATCCGAGCTTTGGCTGCAAGTACAGGATGAGCTTCTATAAACGTCTGCATCAAATATACGAATGCGTAAAATAAAACCGTCGTTCACGACGTGTAAACAGTCTAAGAGTGGAATGGGAGTGGACAGATACCAGGGAGATGTTTTTGTGTCAGTTATGAGTGTCGGAAGCACAGTTTGCCAGGAGAGGAATTGCTCGTGAAGGCAATGAAATACGAAGTCCTGTTTTCGTTTTTCTCCATGAGAATAAGCAAAGTGGAAGATCTGAGCTGCGATGGGATGAAGGTGTCTAATGTACGTGTTGTTCCTGGGAGAAAGAATGTAGAAGAGCCATGGGTTTTGCACTTGCTTTGTTTGTATCCATGTAAATATGTATCACTTCCATTCTTCTTGTAGGGATACAGCATTTTCTGAATGTAGAATATTTCCAGAAACAGCACTATGTTATTCTCTATTGTATAAAATGCTGCTGCTTTATAACATATCTAAAACGGTTCTCAAATTAGCTAGCATGTTTTTACAATGTATTTTGTAATCCGTATCTTTACGAAAAAAAGTGTCTATGCTTTTGGTCTGGCCAAATATGCAACAGCTTTTGAATTAAGGATAGTATTTATGAAGGGTGGATCTTCATTTGTTGATGCGCATTAATTTTCTATGCAATTGTTGTGGAATCGTTATTGCCCCCCAAAGTCATATTTGATCCATTTCCCAAAGACTTCAAAGACAACTTTAAACACTTCCGAAGCACGTTTCTAAATATTTCAATCTTTTTGTCCCCGTATTTCTTTCCAGACTGCTTTCTAATAGAGAACAATTACCTGCCAGATGGGATTCAAGGAAATGACTCTCATCTTATTTTCAGATTTTGAATTGATTCGCATCTTCATAAAGCTTACACCACATGAAATCACCTGGTGTTCCCATTTACCTGCAGTTCTCTTGGTTATTCACATGGCATTTGAGTGAACTGCAGATTCCCCAGAAATTGACTGTTTTCCTCACTGTTTACATCGCACTGATTCCATGTGTGTGTGTGAGGCACCTCACAGTGCCCACTGTGACACACGGGGAGTGACAATCCTTTATTCATCTCAGTTCAGAAACAGTAATCCACCTGTTGGAAGCTGGCATCTGTCCTTCACGTCTGCTACTTTTATCAGTGCAGCAGTGACAGTCGGTAGGAATGTCTTTAACCAGCACTCAGTATGTAACCCATCTGGTCTAAGAGCCATTCGTTTTGCCATTTTCCTTGTTCCTGGTATACAGAAATAAATAAATTGGGACCAAACCAACATCGCAGTGCAAATTGAAGCGAAGATGCTGACATTCTAACAGATCAAACGAGTCACCTGGGGAAAAAGCTCACGTTTCTTTCCAATCACTCAAAACAGCCAAATGGAGCAGAAAGTTCTAGAATGGCTGAGTCACCAAATGAATAATGTTCCGTATCACCAGCTGGTGGGATGAGCGGTCATTCCTCCAGAGCTGCAAGGACTGAAGAGCTGTTGTAGCAGCGCTGCCAGTCCCTGTACACAGCAGTGTGGTGAGAGCTGGGATTCACAGCCAGGTACCAGACAGGGGCACTGCTGCGTCCTGGCTGGGACCTGTGTGTGTGTGTGAGATGATGATGTGTTCCCCTGGCTCAGGACACCCAGGTCTCCTTGCAGACACTCTCTGTGCAAAGCCCCGTTAGCAGATACACATGCAAAAAAGCAATCATCTCTCAGATCATTCTAGCAGATGTCTTTTTAATCAAACTGTTCAAAAGCCTAACTAAGAACTAAAAAAGAGTTCATATCATTTACATTCCTACAACAACATGGTTAACCTCCAATGTAATTTTTTTGCTATCGTCTGTAAAATATTTTTATATATTGCCTGTACTGTGGTAGATTAGCAATAAATGAGAGAATATCATCTGCTGCACGAGCGTTTGGTGTATTGTTAAACACCTTTCTTTCCCTTGACAATCACATCCCCAGGGGCTGATCCCCCACACTTGTCCCCATCTCCCCCCAGAATACAATGACACGTAAGGCTCTCAGAGCACGCACTGCTTCCTTGGAAATGAGATGCCTGGCATCCCCTTGAATTGAGATCCCATTCCACTTCTGTAGATGAGTTTGATTCGGACAGCGATACCACAGTGAACTTCTTCATTTGCTGTTATTGTCTGCTTTTCCTCATTTCATCCCCTACCCCTCACTGCCACCCCAGCAAAAAGCAGCAGACAGTCCCCACCAACAGGCACTCTGCAGGGCTTCCCTCTCATTACTGCATTCATCCATAATAATGAGTAAATGCCCTTCCCCAGCAGTACATGGTTTTTGGAGACAGGGATGTGCTCTCTTTAATTTTTCTTCATCTAAATCTTTGTTCTGCATTTCTCTACTGGAGACACTTAAAGATGCATTTTCGTACCTCTGGAAGGATGCCCAGAGCTCATTATGTCTCAGTAAGAGTCGAGTTTACAGAGCATAGGATTAAAGACATTTACCTTAACAAAATCAATATTATCCTTCGCGTTTAAAAACAGAGATTTCAAACCATATTTGATGCATTTGTTGGACGTGGAGCAAGTACTTTGCTTTGCTTATTCACAGAAGCCTCAGAGAAAGAGCCATGTGGAAGCTCTTAACTCGCAGTGCCCCATACAAAGGCTGGGAAGCTCATAAACCAGGAAGGCTTCGCCAGCAAAGAAGCTGTTACTGGCTGGGGGAGAACATTTTACGATGAGCAAATATACAGCACGCAGGATTTTAGCTTTATTCAGCAACAGGAAAATTTAAGTAACTTAACCTGGAAATTCCACAGCTAAGGGCTGAGAACTTGAGCACCTGAGCTGACACCTGGCTTTAATTTATAACTTTGGTCCAAATGAAAAGACTGCAACGGTACCCCAGATTTTTAGCCTCAACAGGAAATTTCCTGGATTTTGTAGACTTTACTCACTCCTTTATGCCCCTTCAGCACAGCTGATTTTTTTCCCATTTTACTTCTTGTGGTAGCAGCAAAGGAGACCAAGTCACATTTCTAATGAACATCTGGGTTTCGTACGAGGACTCGCTTGTTCGCATGCTCAGTTGTGTAAATACACGTCTTACAAGTTCCTTTTTTTTCTTTTTTTAATACAGATGCAATTTACTCAATTTTAGAAGCTGCCCTTCAGCTTCATGCCAGATTCTTCTCTAAAAGCATCCCCACTGTCTCCTTCAGGTGGCAGCTCAGAAGCAGTGTGCAGCCATGCACCTGCCCTGCCTTTGGCCCTGCTCAGCCAGGCAGCACACAGCAGTGCACGGAGCAGAGGCAGTGCCTGTGCTCTGCAGATGCACAGACACTGATGTGCTGCACTGCAGCCTGATGGCCACAACACCCAGAGCTTACTATGGCTTTTGAATGAAGCAGACTCAGAGGCCCAAGCTTATCAAGCAGGGCTGAGACTCAGAGCGTGTCAGTTTCTAGAGAAGCCCAGCTAAAAGCAGGGCAGAAGTAGGGGTTCCTTTGGTACTTGGTGATACCAAGGTCCCCGCTGTGACCCTCCCCCAGGTACGTGCTGGGGATGGAAGCTGCTGACATGAAGGGGCCAGACAAGTAAATTTGTCATGGTTACTTTTTGTAACGCCGCTGGAAGCTGTGAGAGCCATGAAGACCTCCCTGGGAGGCTGATGGGGACGGCATGGAGGAGCGCTGAAATCCGAGGCCGGCAGCTGTTTAATTTCTTGGCTTTCACGTTAGGATTTGCTGAAGGGGAAGGACACAGACAGAGCCCTTTCCTTTGAGTTGCAGTGGCCGCCGTGCAGCTTAGACCGGCATTAGCAGCAAAGTACCTTTCCTATTGTTTTTCAGTTTTCCAATTCTAAAACAATGCTGTAAATCAGGATCCTCACTGTCTGCATACACACAGCATTGCACGAAAGCATTTTGGCTTCACTTACCTTTAAAAAAAGGCCACATAACATAAGAAATAAACGGGAGGAATATACGCAACTGAGTCATACCCACACCTCTTACATTTTCTACTCTTCCTTACGGGAAGGAGATCGCAACGCTGTGCCGCAAACGGCGCTGCTCTCTCTGCGGCGGGCTGGGGCCGATGCGCTGTCGGTACCAAACCGGCTCTTCAGGTGCTTCTTCCGAGCGACAAGCGAACTCGGGGCGGAGCGGCTGCGTGCGGAGCGGAGCCTCGCTGCCACCTGCAGGGCAGCTCCCGCACCGCCCCGCTCCGCTCCCGTGGCCCCGCCGCGGCTCCCAGCCCTCCTTCCCCAGCTCTCGCCGTGCCAAGAGCAGAAGGGCGTCATGGCTGCGCCCGCTGTGTTGTTTGGAAAGCCGAGTTTTTCTGTCCTCCACGCAGCTCGGGCCGCCCCACACCGCTCGGTTCCCTGCTGAATGCGGGCATGGGAAGGATGGGTGCAGACAACAGTTGCTCTGCTGCCCTTCCACTATCAGCTCTTGTAAAAAGTCAGCCTCCCTGCTTTTAAGCAGTGGAAGGCCGCAGTGAGGTCTTGCTGGAAGCTTCCCTTCTGCATATTGAACACCCCCAATTCCCTCAACCTGTCTCCATGGCAGAAGAGTTCCAGTCCTTTGAGCATCCCCATGCCCTCCCTCCTCCAGCAGCCCCACATCTCTCTGTGCTGGGGGCCCAGGCCTTGACACAGTGCTCCAGATGGGGCCTCAGGAGAGCAGAGCTAAAGGGGACGATCCCTCCCTGCCCACTGCCAGCCCTCAATGCAGCCCGGTGCCGTCGGTATTCTGGGCTGCAAACACACAGATTCACAAAGTTCTGGTAGGCTGCAACCATCATGTACTGAGGAACAGTCCCAGAGGAAGACTGGAGGCTGGGAAACGTGGGCTGGTTCCAGGCACCAAAAGGTGAGCAGCTGCCGCACTGCCGGCCCCTGCAATGGCCTGGCACAGAAACCACTGCTCACGTTAACATTGTTGCTGTTGGCACCAGGCACCTGGTGCAGAGAAGGAGAAACATGACCCTGTTATTCTGCTGTCCTTTGTTCCTGATTTATGGCTCCCTCAAAAGTAAAAGGTATTCACTTGTGGTATGTGGTAGAAAGTAGGATTTCAGGACTGGCCAAAATACCTCCTCCTACATTTGCTGCAAAGGCAGCAAATTCCACGTTTATTTCCTCTTCAACGGGCACAAAATCTGCATGCTAAAAAGACAGCAATGGGGAGTTGTCAGGAGCAGATATTCAAGGTCTGTTTTCCACTCTGTGATAATGTGGTCTTGTCAACAAGCACTCAGCCCCAGATCTCACTCTTTAAGGGATGAGGTTCCTTCCTCTCCCAGATGCAGAGATTATACCTGCTGCTGCTCACTGCTGCTTCAGGGGTTTCTTCTTCTGACAAATTCTGCTCTGCAAGATTAAAGCAATCTGAATGGAAGCACGAGCTCAGGATAGGGGATGCTTTGCAATCCCTGATTTGGATTCTATAGCATAAACCAAATTTCCAAGGGAGCAGTGGTACTCTGTCAAAGGGGGACTCTGAAAAGCACAGTAACAGGCAACATACATGAGGGAATCAACCTGCGTGAACAGGTTGATATGAACAGAACACAACCCTGTACAGACCTGCTCATTCTGATACAGTTCATTTCCTTCAGCTTTGTTACAATTCAAAAGATGAACAGGGTGGAAGGGCAGGACAGGAACACAACAGCAAAAGGACCAGCACAGAGAGGATGGTATTTCACAAGAAAAGTAAAGGTGCTCACCAGTCTCCAAAGATCTCAGCTTGCAGAAAGTGCTCCACAAGGAAAGGATCTTCAACCAGAGACCCTTCCCCACCACAGTCAGCCCTTAAATGAGGTCTAAGAGAGGTGCAGCCAGGCTCCTCCCCTTCCACTCAGCTGAACTGCCTTCACCTGTGCTCCCAGTGCTGACCAGGGCTTTTCCCCAGGTGCTCAATCAGTGGTTCAGGCTGGGACTTAAGAGTTCACATACAAGCTTCAGTTAGAATTTATGTTTTAAAGGTGCTCCAGACCTCAGCATTTTGTGTTTCTCCCTCTGCAACACTACAGCTGTCCAAGATGCAGAACCGAGGCACTGGAGTTAAAACTTGCATGAATTACAGGGGCATATTTATTAATTAGTTTAATTGAATTCTGCCACCTCACACCACTCTTGGTTCCTGCTTTCCTTTGCACGTAGCCTCTATGAGAGCCCAGAGGCTTTGTCCCTCTACAGCTGCAGCCCCAGACAACCTTACATCTGTCACATGTAGGCTGAGGGTGGCTCTGCTCTGCCTGGCGAGCTGGGAGCCCTCAGCTGCACTATGGCTACATGGAGCAGCTTAAAGCCATTTCTTCCTGCCCATCTCTGTGTATCTCCGAGTGCCCATGTCTGGAGCTGTGGCTCTGATGGCCCCACCGGAGCACTCAGCACTGCTCTCAGCAGCACCGCAGCGCGCACAGAGCCGCTGACAGCATTGGGGCAGCATCCCACAGTGGTTTTGTTCTGCCGTAGAAAGAGAAAAGGAAGGGGGGAAGGAGGGGAGATTCATCCCGTGAAGCATTTTCCTTGGTTGCTGAGAGACATCTGACTTTAAATCTCCCTAACGAATAAACACAGTGCACTTAATTTTGTTTATGAAAACAGATTTATAGTGATGGCGAAAAGGATGAGTCAGTGCCCTGACTGCAGGGGTGTGCTGCAGCTGGAGACACTCACTGAAAAGCAATGCCTCAGAAACCAGAAGAACTCTCCTCTCAGACGGTGCCAAGAGATGCAATTCCTCCTCTAACAAAAACCACCAGGATGCGGGGAAAGGGCTGAGGCACGCTCACGGCCAGGCAGTGGGCTGTTGAGCAAAAACTGCCATTGCTATGAAGAAGTTGAGAATTTGTGAATGAGTGCAGTGCAATGCAGTGCTGCACACACCCAGTGCACGGCCTGGGCAGGGCTGGCAG